AAATATAGTCCGTCGCTCAAGTTTTGAACGGCAGATCGGTTGAACTCTCTGCCTTCGGGCGGGGAGGAACCCGAAAGAGGATACGCCGAAGGGCGGATTCTCTTTCGGGGGAGGTAAACAGAACCTGAACCCGTTTATACGGGTTCAATGGGCATATTTTTGGCCGATCCCACGGGCTCGGAGAGCCCACGTTAAAAATACTTGTGCCACATGACATCCTCGTGGTGGGGGGACTGAATATCGTCAGTTGTTCAAGTCGAGTGAGTAGTTCAAGTCGAGTCAAGAGTTGAGTCAGAGGCAGTCCGAAACAGAGTCGCGTTCAGACAATTACTGCAAGACATTTGAATAGTGATACTGGTCGAGACTACATTGTTCTCCCTACTAAACCTGATTGTTCATACTAACACTTTTACTTCACTGTATATATTCCTGTTTGTAAATATATCTGTGTTATTCCATACATGTGTTCGAGTTCTTCTTTATTGGTTCTACCTTGGACTATCACCGTGGTACAAAGAACCGGACCATAACAAGTGGCGACGAAGATTCGAATACATTCGGTAGAAGAAAAAAAAATTGTTCGCACAGCATAGCACTTTGCTGTGATGGTGAGCACCTAACCAGCACCCTTCACATGTTGCGTGCCAATATCCGTGTTTCTGCGACGGATATTCCACTGAATGCTAGAAAGGTGTTCATTCGTGTGTGGCGTATGCTGGGTAATGTAACTTTGATCTTCAAAAAATTAAATGCAATGTAAATCTATTGTCTTCCTGATTACTATTTTAATGTTTTCTCTCCTTCATAATGTTTCTCTTTTTTTTTCTTCTTCCTTCAGACTCAATAATCCCTTACGTGGCTTTACTGACTTAGAAACTTTGTCTTTGTGGAACAGAGTCACGAATGGGTACCTCCCTGAACACTACAAAAATGTGACTGAACGCTTATTTTTCACTCTACCATTGCAACAGATCCTGCTTTGAAACCCTGCCACTTCTCGATTGCTATTTCCATTGCAAATGTTCCAAAGAACTCCATTCTTTACTTCCAGCAATTCAAAACCTTACAGCTAGTATATGCCACTTCCAAAGTAATTAGATAGATAGATAGATAGATAGATAGATAGATAGATAGATAGATAGGTGAACAGACTTAGATAGATAGATAGATAGATAGATAGATAGATAGATAGATATGAAGATGACTCAGATAGACAGTTAGATTTGAATATAACTGAGATAGATAGATAGATAGATAGATAGATAGATAGATAGATAGATGGGTGAACAGACTGAGATAGATAGATAGATAGATAGATAGATAGATGAATTTGAATATAACTGAGATAGATAGATAGATAGATAGATGAGAAAGATAGATAGATAGATTTGATAGATAGATAATTGAACAGATAGATAGATAGATAGATAGATAGATAGATAGATAGATAGATAGATATGAAGATGACATAGATAGATAGTTAGATTTGATATAACGATATAGATAGATAGATAGATAGATAGATGAATAGAGATAGATAGATGGGATAGATGAGATAGATAGATAGATAGATAGATAGATATGATAGATGTGAGATGACTCAGATAGATGGTTAGATTTGAATATAATTGAGATAGATAGATAGATAGATATAGATAGATAGATATGAACAGACTTAGATAGATAGATAGATGAATAGATAGATAGATAGATAGATAGATAGATATGAAGATGACTCAGATAGATAGTTAGATTTGAATATAACTGAGATAGATAGATAGATAGATAGATAGATAGATAGACAGTTAGATTTGAATATACTGAGATAGATAGATAGATAGATGAATAGATAGATAGATAGATAGATATGAAGATGAACATAGACACAGATTTGAATATAATTGAGATAGATAGATAGATAGATAGATAGATAGATAGATAGATAGATAGATAGATAGATCGATCGATCCTGTAGTTAGAAACTTTCATTCTGACAGCCTATTTCCAAGAAAGCTAACTTGTGAAATAGTTCCCTTATGGGTACTTATAGGGCCACTACATTCGTAACCACAAAGGCCAACCGCTATTGTCCTCGTAATCGTCCCTTCGTAATATTTCTTCTTTCATTCATATATTTTACCAGATTCATCATCATATTTTCAACGTAACTCCGAATTTGTGTAGCTCTCATACCTCGTATTGGGTGAGCCTTAAGTAAAATATCAGCTGGCCATAAGAAAGAATTCAGTATTGGCAAACATGATTCCACTGTAATGGATACAACAGTACAACTGTTGATATTGTCTCATTTTTTCCAAACAGTCATCTTGGATTGTGTCACTCTATATGAAACTGTTAGAATGAATAACATTTTGCCATGTATGCTTAATAAATCCTACCCTAAGTAGATAATTTATATACAGTAGATTGTATGTTTGGAATCCATGCATACAAGCGGTACAAATGTTTTGCTAAATCTGCAAGTGAGATATTCGGATTAAGTGGTATTTAATTGATATGCAATGACTGTGAATAAAAAATAAAGAGTAAAAAACCTGTGTCTAATAAGAACGTGATATGAAGATTAATTCCATTACAAAACGGACACGGTTTTTTTTATGAAGAATTACATATCATGAATATATAATATACAAAAGATTGTGAAACAAAATATATAAATATTAAAAAAGATACATAGATATGAAGATGACTAAGATAGATAGTTAGATTTGAATATGACTGAGATAGAGAGAGAGAGAGAGAGAGAGAGAGATAGATATAGATGATAGATAGATAGATTTGATAAATGACTAAGATAGATTTGAATAAAACTAAGATAGATAGAAAATAGATGACTAAAATAGATTTGAATAAAAGTGAGATAGATAGATAAATGACTAAGATAAATTTGAATAAAACTAAGATAGATAGATAGATAGATAGATAGATAGATAGATAGATAGATAGATAATAAGAACATGACTGGGATAAATAGATAGATATGACAATGACTAAGATATTTAGATTTGAACATAACTGATAGATAGATAGATAGATAGATAGATAGATAGATAGATAGATAGATAGATAGATAGATAGATGAATAGGAATAAAATGGTATCAATAGATATTCAGGAAAGAATGAAAAAACAGATTAAAAGGTATGTAGAGGTAGTATATATGTATATATATATATATATATATATATATATATATATATATATATATATATATATATTAGAAAGAAAGAAGATGACTGATACATTGGAACAAAATGAAACGGATAGGAATAAAGAAACATAATGTGATAGATAGATAAGTAGATTTGAATAAGTCCAGATGGATATATAATACGTATTCAATACATTTATCAGTAATTCTCAGACTGCGCATGCGTATTAGAATAAATTTGCCTTGGGTGGTGTATATGAAATTGAAGGGAAGTCGGATCTACTGAGGAAGAAGTGTAACTTTAGGAAATGAAAGGCATTGAAATAGATTGCCCTTCAAGCAAATACGCGTATGCCCACGCACCCCACACTCATTCTCGAGCGAATATATATATATATATATATATATATATATATATATATATATATATATCCTAGTAACTATACTCGGTTAGTGAAAAAAAACGGATGACGTAATTCATGAATATAAATATATTGAAACAAATTGGTATCTGGGAAAAATATTGGAAAAAAAAAAAGAAAGAACTAGAAACATCCGAGTTGGGCGGAAAAATCATTGAGTTCCTTAATTTCCACTCGAAAGAAAAAAAATAATCGGGTAATTAAGATGAAACCAAAAGTAGAACAGACAATAAAACCTCCAAAAGTAAAACCTAGGTAGGTAATTCTTGGCCATTTAGTATTTTATATATATATATATATATTAAGAAGGAGACAAAGTCCCTCAATTTATTTATTAAACACATTTTTATGTTTAACGTTCTTTTTTATAGATACAAGTATTTAAAGTAAATGCTCTGTTTATAACAAACAGTATTAAATAACATTTACCGGCCTGAATGTCCGAGAAATTTTCATAGAAAATATTCGTCCTTTGACAGGATTCGAACCTGCATCCTATACGGAACCGTCATTCAACCTTGCCAACCGAACGATCCTTTGTGGCCGAGAGGTTAGGCACGTCTGCGTAAATGACGGTTCCGTATAGGATGCAGGTTCGAATTAATGTCTTTAATAAATAAATTATCGGACTTTGTCCATTTCTTAATATATGACGTCGTTTGTTTACATTTGATACGCCATGAGCAGTTATGAATGAACGAGATTCATGGAAGATTGAAGTTTATGAGCAGTAAATTCGACCTTGCCAACTGAACGATCCTTTGTGGCCGAGAGGTTAGGCACGGTTCCGTATAGGATGCAGGTTCGAATCCTGTCAAAGGACGAATATTTTCTATGAAAATTTCTCGGACATTCAGGCCGGTAAATGTTATTTAATACTGTTTATTATAAACAGAGCATTTACTTAAATACTTGTATCTATAAAAAAAGAACGTTAAACATAAAAATGTCTAATAAATATAGAGAGAGAGAGATGTGTGTGCGCGCACTATTAAATATCGATCTGAAATATATTTCGGTCAAACATGACCTAACTTCATTTTTTTTTAATACGGTCCCCGATGTCATTCAGACAGAGCCACATGCAGTGTAAATATTCCGTTTTTATCTTACTAAAAGAATACCTGTTATTAAAATTTGGACCCTAAGTGCACCTGTTACTACAAGTCTCTAAAGTTACAACTGTTATATTTATATTTTTTAATTATTTCGCCCCAAGCAAATCGATAAAGCGAGTCCATCCTCCACATTTACAAATCTAACATTCGTCCATTTAATACTGTTAATACATCTCGAGATACAAAATCCAAAGATATCGTTCCTTGATCATCTCGACGATACTTCCTGTGTCATTTCTACATATATTTCCATGACTTCTGATCTGACAAAAACTCCCAACTAGTGCTTCTAGGATCTGCAAATGTAGTCGTTCCTGACTAGATAGATAGCATCTTGAACACCAGTGAGATAGAGATAGATCATAGATAGATATGAGGCTTCCTGTGTCATTTCTACATATATTTCCAGATGACTTCTGATCTGATAGATAGATATTTTAATAGATAGATAGATGACTGAGATAGTCCCAGACAGATAGATAATTCAAACGTCCCAGATAGATAGATAGAATAGATATGAACATAACTGAGACTAGATAGATAGATAGATAGATAGATAGATGAATGAATAGATGACTGAGATAGATAACATAACTGAGACAGACAGATAGATAGATAGATAGATAGATATGATAGATATGAGCATAACTGAGATAGATAGATAGATAGATAGATAGATAGATAGATGGATAGATAGATAGATAGATGGATGACAGATAGATAGATAGATAGATGATGATAGATAGATAGATAGATAGATAGATGGATGAATGATGAGATAGGTGACTGAACAACATGACTGGATAGATAGATATATATATAGATAGATAGATAGATAGATAGATAGATAGATAGATGAACATGACTGAGATAGATAGATAGATAGGGACAGATAGATAGATACATAGATAGATGGATAGATAAATAGATAGATAGATATGATGACTGTGATAGATAGATAGATGGATAGATGATAGATGGATAGATAGATATGAAGATAGGTATGAACATAAGTGAGACGGATAGATAGATAGAGATAGATAGATAGATAGATAGATAGATAGATGATATAGATAGATAGATAGATAGATAGATAGATATGATGATAACATGAATGAGATTGGTATGAACATGAGACGGATAGGTAGATGAATATAACTGATGACAGACAGAGATAGAGATAGATAGATAGATAGATAGATAGATAGATATAGATGAAACATGACTGAGATAGGTATGAACATATGAACATAGATGGATGATAGATAGATAGATAGATAGATAGATAAAATATGATAGATAGATAGATACGAACATGGAACTGAGATAGATAGATAGATATATGATAAAATGATAGATAGGTGAGACAGACAGATAGATAGATAGATGGATAGATATGAACATGACTGAGATAGATGTGAACAATGAGACAAAAAAATAGATAAATATATGACTTTTTAACTGATCATAGATGATAGATAGGATAGATTTGATATGAACATTACTGTCCAATTTTTTGATCAGATGAGGATATTTGCGTCCCTTCACAATCCTCCCACCCATTCACAAAAGCTTAGGTAATTTGCTTTTATTTTAAAATTCTCCAAGCCTATTTTCCTCATTATGTGTCCTTGAATATTTAACTCTCTCTTTTTGATTCTAGTGTGTGTTTAGTTTCAATTTTCCTAAAAAACATCCTCATGGATCACATGCTCCTACCATGGTATTCTCAAGAGGTTTGATATTATTTAGGAGCCTAGCACTCTTTAGTCTTGTTATTTGAACTTTTCTTACAGATTATTTGTTCCCTTCAGGATATAGGCGATCATGCCTCTCTACAAATGCCTCTCCCTAATAGACCTTTACTATGTTTTGCCATTTTGCTATGTCTTTCTACCCCAGTTCTGCCATCCATTTCCACAGACTTCTCAAGGATGTGGTTAATTGTCTTTACCAGTCACTTCTGCTTTATATAAATCTGCCAAATAGATTACGTATAGTTTTTAAATACTGGAGAAACGGTGAAAGAAAGCAAAAAAAAAAAAAAACTATATTGTAACACGAAGAAAATTATGTTACGGAAACAAAACAAAGAAAGAAAAGGGAACTGAGCAAGTAGGGCATAAGGACACGAGGAGAAAAAGCAGAAATTAAAATTGGAAATTAAGAAAGAAAGAAAAAAGCGGTGAAAAATAGAAAAAAAAATCTAATACGAATGCACGATCATTACGATTCGAGAAGAAACGGTCTCATTCAGAAGTTGATATCAACCTGACCATGAGAGATGTTTACTGCTGGAAGACATCATGGTTAGATGTCGAACATTGTTATTAATGAAGAACGAAAAATATGAAGGGTAAGGAAGAAGGAAAATCATGAAGAAAACTTGCAACATAAAAAGAAATAATAAATATTCTCTATCTTTCATCTTTCTTATTTTACCAAGTGTTGAGTGCATATGTATTCACCCACTTTACTGTGAAACACCTAAATAAACTCCAGAGCAAACAATTACCTTCAAAATTGACATAATTTTTACAGTCTATCTGATTATGACAATTTCTTTTGAGTAAAGTAAGGAATAGAAAACTTCAGAAATTTGTTAGAGAAAAATAACAGCATTAGGAAGACTAATCCACTAATCAAGCAGGTTAAAGATAAATTCCATGTGAAGTATAAAGCTGGATTAGGTTATAAAAAAAGATGTTTCGAACATCTTACATAACACTAATGAATGCATCATTTGAAAATAGATTATGGCACAGCCGTAAATCTACCAAGACAAGGGTGTCCACCTAAACTGACTACCAAGGAGAGAATTAATCAGAGAAGCGTCCAAAGTGACTCTGGAGAAACTGCAAAGACCCAGATCTCAGGTGGGAGAATTTGTCTACAAGGCAACTATTAGTCGTACATTCTAAAAATCTGGCCTTTATGGAAGACTAGTAAAAAGCAAGCCATTGTCAGAAGAAAGCCACAAGATTTTGAATTTGCAGTTTACCACAATCCATGTGGGAGAGACAGTAAAAATGTTGAAGAAGATGCTCTGGTCACATGAGACCAAAATTATTTGGCCTTAATGCAAAATGCTATATGTTGCAGAAACCTAATGTTGCACATTGCCCTGGGCACATCATGAAGAAAACTTGCAACATAAAAAGAAATAACCGTATTATAATTGTGCTCGTCCCGCCCTTTGTTAGTTTGCTCGACCGTTATGTCCTGCCAATACGTATAAATAATGGCCTATTCCGTTTTGATCGGGTGAAGAGAAGGGAAAAGGCACGATTTGGTTTCAGTGAGAAAACGCAGGAAAGAAGAGAAGATAGAAATGGACAGAGAGAGAGAGGCAGAAAGAGAGAGAGAGAGAGAGTGAAGTTGATAAGAACTAATAGTACATTTGATCTTAGGGTAAAGGCTGAGAAGCAATTGCATTTTCTTGTCGCCACACGCTGGTCGGTTGTGGGGGGGGGGACGAGGCCGTGCACTCAGGCCAATTCCACAAACAGTCCAGCCCTCGCAATTGTCGGCTGCGCTGTCATCGATATTACTACCAATCCCCACTTCTGTAGTGCAATGAGGAACGTACAGTCCCGGGCAGCTGTTTCCAGAGACCGGATACCTCGCAATAAAATTTTCACCTGCGTTCTGTTCGCAGACAGAGACATAACTCATTGTTTATCATGCCTTGAAACGAAGGCGACTTCGATAACATAGCGACATTTTTCAAACGCACAATATCGAACGAAGCAAATTGAGTAAGGCAATCTGCTGAATTATTTGGAAATCATTATTAAGAGAAATGTTCGTAAGACGGGGATTTAATAATAATAATAATAATAATTATTATTATTATTATTATTATTATTATTATTATTATTATTTTCTTTGATTTCTGGCGTTTACACATTTCTTTTCGGGTCCCGCCCAGGGACCTAAGGTTAGAAATGGCATCATGACACTTTCCACTAACAAAAAAGAAAAAATTAAATGGATAAAGCTCTTCGTAAAGTGTGGGCTGTACTTGTGAGAACAATTTTTGTATCTCCTTGAGGCATGGACTTCCAGGAATCCCTTCAATTAGTCTACTGGAATCTTTTCCAACCAATCCTAGGGCTCCAACTACAACAGGGATTGTTGATGTTCCCATATGCTACATTTTCGAGATTTCTATTTCAAGGTCTCTGTATTTTGACAGCTTTTTGAATATCTTCAAAGATACATTGCAGTCAGCAGGGACTGCCATATCAATAAGGAGGCACTTTTTGTTTGTGGTCTTTAATAACAATATCTGGGCGGTTGGCTTTGATTGTTCTGTCAGTGTGTATTGTGTCGTCCTATAGAGTATGTAACAGGTCCTGTCTCCGTAACCGGGTCTGGGTGGTGTTCATACAAGTTTCTTTCAGTTTCATTACAAGTCTTTGTATACACGTATCTTCTCTTGAAAAGAACAATTGTACTGGTAATCAACGAATCAAAACGAATTAAACACTGTCACCTTCAGTGGAATTGAAACATAATGAGTAACATAATGGGGACCTTACTCATCTTGAAATTTTCCGTTAGTTGATTACTTGAAATTAGTTGTTAATCACTGTTCATTTTTTTTTCATAAATTGAACTCCTCTCTAAGTCGTGAAAAATATTTGCGGAGTTACGTCAATCAAGCAGGTGTCACCGTTGCTTGCAGCAGTTCATGTACAAAGAAAAGTGTTTTGTCTCTAGGCGGCATGTAAGAGCTGAGATATGACCATCATCCCCCGGGTAAATATTTAGTAGCCGGAATGGATCACAAGTAAGAAGGAAAAGAAGAAGATGGCGCGTAAAAAGAAGGATAAAAAAAAAAAGATTAAAGTAAAAAATGTTGCGTTTGGAAAAATGAAAAATATTACAGAAGAATAGGAAAGAAAGCAACTTTAAAGGAAAGAGCTGAAAGAAAAAAAGAAGAAAAGAAAAATATAAAGGAATGAAAATATGAAGGAATAAAGAAAATAAGAATGAATAAAGAAAAAAGAAAAATGAACGAAAGAAAAATGCTAATCGAAGAAATTATGAAAAAATAGAAATAGGAAGGAGTGAAGAAAAATGAATGAATAATAAAAGAAAATATGAAGGAATTTCGCCAAAATAAAAATGCGAAAGAATATAGGAAAAAGAAAAATGAACGAATGAAAAAAGCAAATAGAAGAAATTATGTAAAAGTAAAAACAGGAAGGAATGAGGAAAAAACAGAATGAATTAAAAAGAAAATAGGATGGAATTAAGCCAAAATAAGAAAATTAGAAAGCATTTTGAAAAAAAATGAACGAATGAAAAAAGCAAAGAGAAAGAAATAAAAAGATAAAAATTGGAAGGAATTAAATAAGAAAACAATGAAAACAGGATAGAATTAAGCAAAAAATAAAAAAAAAATCGAAGGAATGAAAGAAAAGAAACATGAACGAATAAAAAAAACAAAGAGGAAGAAATTATGAAAAATTTTAACTTGGAAGTAATGAAACAAAAATGAATGAAAAAATAAAATAAGAAAGAATGATGCAAAAACAAAATTGAATGGAATGAAGAAAAGCGAAAATTAAAATGAATGAATAAAGAAAATAAGATGGTAAAAAGCAAAAATAAAAATCGGAAGGAATGATGAAAAAAGAAAAATGATTTAATGAAAAAAGCAACTTGGAATAAATTATGATGAAAGAGAAATTGCAAGGAATGAAAAAAAAGAATAAATGATAAATGAAAATAGGAAAGAATTAAGCAAAAATAAAAAAAAAATGGAAGGAATGAAGGAAAAAAAAGTACGAATGAAAACAGAAAAATTTGGAATAATTTAAGAACGAAAAATAACGTTTCATGAAAAAAAACGGAGAATAAAAATAAGAAGCAGAGAACATTCCTAAACAATCGAGCAAGAAAGAAAAAGTAAAATTGAAAACTCCAAGTCATAGGAGGCAATGAAAGGCTGGAAGACGAACAAGAAAACGATTAATACGTTTGTCGGCAAATGCACGGATGTAATTAAAGCGATATTTCACTCATCAATTAGGCGTTGATTCTTCACTAAATGATTGGCACCGCCCCGAAGGACAGTGTATGAGGGAGGTTTGATAGTTCGTAACGGTCTCATTCTGAAATTGATATCGACCTGACAACGAGAGATGTTCAATGCAGGAAGACATCATGGTTAGAATATGTGGATTAGCTACGGACGACTTGTTCATGGGCTTACAACAAAGACCCCGGAGACAGAAGAGAACGTGTTGTGATTGGACTATAAAATAGAAATGAAACTATTAAGGAAGTGTTAGATATTGTCTGGAGGGTTAATTTTGGAAGTGATAGCTAAATTTCACGGCCTTTCACACTGGAAATTGGAAACGGTTGTCTGAGATCGAATCCGAGGTTATTGTGTTAACGCCCGCACTAATAACCTGGGGGAAAAATGAATTCTTCTCTTCTCCAACAGGCTATTCATTAAATAAGCTATTTAGCCTTCAGTGGCAACCAGCATAAGAAAAGGAAAACTCGGAAGGAAAATAACTATTATGATTTTAAAGCTTTACATTAGACAACGGGAAACCACACCACTTTTCTTTCTCAATTAACAAATAATAAAAAAAGGAAATTATGAAGAGCCATGGTCATCAAGAGTGTGGACTTTTTTTTCTGATGAAAGTTTCCGTACATTTTATACGACGAATTTTTCTGATTTTCAAAAATTCCAACGCACTTGCCTTCTTCACTATATAAAACTGGCTTCTCTCATTTGCCGAGTACAAACGTCTACTGGGGCGGCTTGACAATGTCTGTCGTAGTCACCTGCTCCGGTATATTTGTGTTTGGCCAACAACCACAGAAGCCAGTTGTGCTTTATGCTGCAACTAGGGTGAACGGATCTTAGTTGCAGTTACACAGTGTTGTTTTTAATAATCTCCCCCAAGCAAAGTGGGAATGTCACTAGTGCGCAGGGAATTATAGAGAATTAAGAAGAAGGAAGAGACTGGATATAGAGGGGGAGCAAGGAAAGGATAAAAGCTGAACAGGGTTCAAGAAGATGGAAGATGGCGACTGATATCGCATTTAATTTTTTAAAGATTGTAGTTATCACGAAAGAAAGGAAACGGAAGTGAGTTTCACTTGCAGGAAGTGCGAGAAATGCTGTTGGAATAAAAATGGCGTTTACATTTACCTAATTCAAAAGTAAAAGGGAGAGACCTAAATTCTAATCTCGTAGCACGCTTAAGCACACGTAGGGAAAATAGCTTGTCAGAGCATTAACCATGAAGATATTTGTAGAAAAGACAGAGGGAAACCATGTCACGTCGGTGAGAAAGTGACTGAAATCGAGATGCCAGGTCAGGATCGATTACATTGCAGATCCTTCTTTGGCTTTTATCAAGAACATCGAGATGAGTGGCAGGAGAACATGACCAGACATGGCAAGAGTATTCAATGCACGGTCGAATGGCAGATTTGTAAATGAGCGTCTAGCATGAAAGAGCCTGTCGCCTCTGAGTGTTGACTTCAATGTTCACTTTTTTATTTATATTTACATACGCCCTATCTCTGGTATTGAACACTTTATCCATAAATATTGCACAGCTTATATATATATATATATATATATATGAATGAATATATATATATATATATATATGAATGGATATATATATATATATATATATATATATATATGAATGAATATATATACACATATATATATGAATGTATATATATATATATATATATATATATTTATATGAATATATATATATATATATATATATATATATATGAATATATATATATATATATATATATATATATATATATATATATATATATATATATATAAAATGAATATATATATACATATATATTTTAAGTTACGAAGAACTTGGTAAACCGAATGGGTAATTCAAGGAGGATGAAATCCTGAGAGCTCAATGTGAATACAGAGCTAATATCTAATAAAAAACAGACCATTTTAAGGTACCATTACAATAATTTATTTCACCAAAATCCTTTTTAAAGGACTCCGGAAAGGAAAAATGGGATTAAAATTGATGGTAGTAATTCCAAGGAGAATCAATTTCTAATCCCATTTTTCCTTTCATTACGTTGTTGGAATTGTTACCTGATGATCCGGAGTTCTTTAAAAGGATTTTGGTGAAATAAATTGTTGTAATTGTACCTTAAAGTGGTCTGTTTTTTTCATTAAATAATATATATATATATATATATATATATATATATATATATATATATATATATATGAATGAAAAATAGTGTTGCCAAATTTGGTCTGATTCTCGTGCTATGTTTAAAAATTTTGAATAAAATGCAATGCAGAATCTGCAATATTATTAGTCCTGGCCTGGCATTTTGGCTTTAGACCCTTTTCCCACCGTCATGACGTAGCTCATCTGTAATTATTCTGATGAACTTTCCCTTAGGTCTCATCATTTTACAGGTGAAACGGCTAAAAATTGAAATGCAATGTATAATTATCTTCCCTCTACATAATTCTTGTCCTTTTAGTGTCCTGCTTAATGCTTTTTTCTCCCATTCTCTAACACTAGGTAATGGTTTGCGTCTTAGTGGCTTTATTGCCTTGCTTTGAATTGGGTGAATTGATATATATATATATATATATATATATATATATATATATATATATATAAAATTTCTTTAAAATCACCCCAAATATATTTCTTCATCAACAAGAAATTTTAAGAATTGTTTACTGATAAGTGTTTGCATTATTATTTTTTTTTTTAAGTTTTTAACCCCAGTCAAAGCGTGAGTGCCACTAGAACACAACGGGTTTCAGAGATGCCAACCTAGTAACCCGTTTAAATTTATGCTGTTTGGGAACCAGCAAAAGTAGCTCCTCGGAACAGTTACCGTGAAAATATTTATAGAAAAGACAGGGAGGCGACTGCGCGTCTGTGGGAAAGTGACTGTAAACGAGATGACAGATCAGGACCAACCACATTGCATATCAGTCTTTGGATTTTGTCAAGGACCCTAAGATGAACAGCGGATCTCCAGACCATATATGGCAGCAGTATTCCATGCAAGGGCGAATGGTTGATATATAGATTTAAAGGATGGACTCGGGCGAGAAAAACATTCTGGCGCGACACAGAGAACCAACTTTCCTTGCAGTAGATGTAGCTATAGATTCAATGTGATTGTTCCACTTCAGCTCAGTGTGAGACCAAGCAGGCGCAGAGAGGCGATCTCATGGAGTTGGGCCTCAGACATGAATCCGTTATGGTGCTTTGTTCTCTATTAAACAATGTGTCGGAAGATGAAATCATTTTGCCACAGTTAATCACGATTTTTTTTGTTTTTATATAAATCTACTGTTTAGTATATGTCCTCTCTGCCTAACTTAGCATTTACAAGTCAAATATCGCTCTTTTACATTCACCGAACGCTGGCCTGGGGTTCATATCAGTTGCCTCTTTCTCTCAAATTTGAGAGTTCATAGCCACTTGTGCATTATAAACAACCGTCCTCGTGTAATATCTTCCATCGTGTTTATATATATATATATATATATATATATATATATATATATATATATATATATATACAGTGCTGTTCGATAAAAGTGACTCACCTGGTATTTTTTTACTAATTCTCTTCACAGATTAAACGAATGTTGAGCAAAATTCAAAGGATAAGCGATCTAAAATCCGAAGAAGAAGCTTTGAAAGCTCTTTGAATTTGGCAATAAGTACTGTCAAGTATCCGTTCAGTATAATTTTCTGGGGATGTTTTTCTTTTCATGGAACTGGTTTCTTAAAACCTATCGAAAAGACCCTCAGGAGTCAGCAGTACAAGAGAAATTTAGAGTCTCCATTTTGCTGAAAGGGTGCAAATCGACCCCACCAAGTTCATTTTTATGCAGGATAATGCTCCCTGTCACAAATCAAAATTGATGAAGGAATACTTTCATGAGAAGCAGGTGAGTGTTATGACATAGGCGCCCCAATCTCCTGACATCAACCCCATAGAAAATCTTTGCAGCATGTTGCTCAACTGCTTTCTCGAGAGCTTGTACTTTATAATGCTCCATTGAATCCTTTGAATTTAGCTCAACTTTCTTTTCATCGGAGAAGAGAACATTTAGTAAAACATATCAGGTGAGTCACTTTTATCGAACAGCACAGTATGTTTATATATACATATATATATATATATATATCGTGATGATGTAGATAAAAAAATGAAGGTGACTGTCGTTTATAGCTTATCGAAGACGAAGACTTTAATGAATAACATTATTTTAAAACTGAAATGAGTGTTATTTTTAGCCTTACACGCTCTATGGCGTTTCATAAAAAATGCAAATCTATAGAGACAATAGCCAATATTCTGCTAGTGGAAGCAATGTGTTAGCATATATTAAAAAGGTCAATGTGATTTTTCTATTCAGTCACGTGATGGAAATCCAGAACATGTTGAATTGGCATTTCCTCAAAGCATCAGACAAATATTACATGGAAATTAGAAAGAAGTCGCAGGAAAGAATTTGGATTTCCCCAAACACCCTCCCTAGAGAATTAAGCCTGACGTTTAACCATTGAAAAATAATCAGTTAAATTGGCCACTCGCTTTTACCTCAGCGTCTCTTACATTTCAAGTATGTGTCTCCGAAATGTCAACTTGCTCTTTCTGGCTGTATGCATGTACCCGCTCCGTAGGTGTTATCGGCGCGGAATGTGAGATTGGCTTCAAATTTCAGCCGAAGATTTCGCTTTCGCACAAATACCCCTTGAAAGGTATGTATCTATATCACCCCCGTCCGCAATCCGAAGGATTGATAGCAAACTGAGAAACTTAATCTTGTTTGGTAATTAGTCAATGAGGAAAACAAGCGTAAATCCAAAAAATTTGCAAAATTGATTCTCGCCAGAATCTATCTAGCATATTTATAAGTCTACCATTCGTCCACACTTTGATTATTACTGCAACATCTGGTCTGGTACTCCTGCTATATATTTAGAGATTCTTGATAAAATCCAAAGAATAACCTTCAATGTTATCAGTCCTGACCGGGCATCTCAGCTTCAGTTACTTTCACACCGTCGTAACTTAGCTTTTTTTATAAAT